ACTGAAAGTGTCTCGTCAATAATATCAAATAGGATGCCAAAATGATACCAACATGCAATCTACCAAGATACTAATATGCAATCTAGAAGATTAAAAATCATAGCTCAAGCATTATGTAGAATCCAAATATTGCTCATAATAGGTAACTCAATATAATCTCATGGCTAGCTATGTAAATCCAAAAAATGAAGCATGTTCAAGGTATAGCAATCCATATGCCAAGAAAAATCATGAGTTTCAATAATAGCACATATTTTAAGCATATGCATGATTTTTAGGCAAAACATCATCAAATAGTATACATTGCAAATTATATGAAGCATAATCAATTTTTTCATATCAAAGTAATAATAGTATTAGCTCAAAGGTTATAGATAGAATTTTTACCTCAAAAGCTTAAGAGAGTATATGAGATACATTTAGGTTCAAGAGATGGAAGCTTTTCAATCTTCAGTTTTCTTTCATGAGGTGTCATTTCTCAAAAGGGTTTAACAAGTATGTTAGCAAAATGATTTCTCTCCCTAAGTTGGTGCTACCCTTTTCTAATGTGATTTGTGAAATATAGCATTCATAGAACAATCACTATTACTCAATAAAATACAGACACAAAACACTTCTTATCACAAACTCAAAAAGTGAAAAATAATTCAATGATCAAACAAGAATTTGGAATGCTATTTTTCAGAATTTTCAAGTTGTAGCACATAGCATAATATGCTATAAAGAAATAGTGTTATGCTCTTTGTTTTAAAAATGATGCAACAATCTCATTTAATCACATAACATTATCAAGAGGCATTTTCATCAATTCAATCCACATTACTTCAAGTGTGATAAAAATTTTAGCAATGTGGAACACAAAATAAATGCTATAAACAATTAATTCAACAATTTTATCAATCAAAAGATTTCATAGAGATATATCCAATATAATCCATATTCAAAAAGATATTCAATAGGATAAATCAAGTCTCTACAAGCAGTGATACTTCTTTCATTTAGAATTGTTGATGGCATCATAATCAACGAATTTCATAACTCATTCAAATATTCCAATGTAAAGATATAAGCATGAAATTTTCATATTGAGCATATTCTTGAGATCATAAATGTAGAATTCAAAATATAGATATATACATCTCAAAAACATGCTATGACATCAAAATTGATTCCACAAAGATATGACTCAAAAAGGAATTAACATATTAGTATGAAGTCATATATAAGATGTGAAAAGTATGCTCACAAACATATTATTCACTTCTTATCTCTTTTTATAGCATGGATGGGAAATTTACCTGTTGTTACAGTGATCCGGACTGTGTCCGTGATGTTGGTAGTTGATTATTATTCTTGATTGCATCATTTTTACTTTTGTATTTTGAGTTATAGGATGTGGTTGCGCAGGCTTGTTACAGGTTGGTGAGTTAGAACCAAAACTAGTTGCCCAGATTTTTAGGCTTGTCCGCTCGAGCGGGGTGTTGGTCGCTCGAGCGGGGAATAGCACCCTTTCCAGTATTTCGCAAAAAAACAAGCGTGTGCCAGGTTGGACGCTCGAGCGTGGATTGACCGCTCGAGCCGGAGTGTTGTGGTGTTGCACGCTCGACGGGGGAGTTGGGCGCCGAGCGGGAGACTGGCTTCTGTAAAAAGTTCTGGGCAGTGAGTGACTTCCGTGGCGCGCTCGAGCTGGAGTTTGGTCGCTCGAGAAAGGGAGTCTGTGGGGAGTTACGCTCGAGCGGGGGTTTGGACGCTCGAGCGGGGCGACTTTTATATAAATCCGAGATCGACTTTATGGATCACTTTTTTTTCACTGTTCTCTCTCTCTTCCTTACCTTTTTTTCAAAACTCCATTGTTGAGCCTCTCACTCTAGATTACTACCTTCTCTCTAGGTTTTGCATCTAGTAAGAGGTGGTTTGCCCTCACCTTTGGCCTTTACAAAAAGAGTGTTGATCGTCGAGGGCTACAATTTTAATCTGAAAATTTTCGAGTTTGGAGCACGGTGAGTTTTGTCTTCTTCTCCTTTGGAGCTCGCGAATTTGACGGTTAGGCGATAATCCTACCCCGCTCTATGGATTTTTTGTCTTTAAATTTTTAGGTATTTTTGGAGATGGTTGGGTTGGTTTGTAATTTTTGTGAAAGTTAAGGGGGCTTTTTGTGGTAAAAATTTTACAAAAAGTTGGGGTTTATTTCATAATAAACCTAGATGCATGTTTGGCGCATAGAGGAAAAGTGGAATAATTGTTGGAAAATCATTGATGAAAAATGCGGACCTTAAAGGGTTTAAAAAATGGTGTTAAAATTTATGGATAATGACTTAATTTACATTGTGTTTTGGGATTAATTTGGGATTTTAAAATTTTTAAAATTGTGCAGGGAATGAGGAAATGGGGAAATGTTGATTGAAATATGTCCATTTTGTGCCCCATTTATTTTCCTGTTTAGAATAAAAAAAATTTCCTCCCCTTTTTTCCTCCCTTTTGGGCAGTTCTCACTGACATCTCCCACGTTGAGGATGAGGCCCATATTGAGCCCCCCCCCTCCAGAGCGCGAGGGAGAGGCCGAGGTTATGGTCATGGCGGACGTCGCGGCCGAGGTCAAGGTGCGGGTAGAGGTAGAGGTCGAGGTCCAGCTGCAGATCGTGATACAGTTGCACCAGATGAGGGAGTTTCACAGCTCACAGCAGTATCCGATCTTCGGCCAGAGACAGGATCAAGGGCAGCACATGCAGGAGAGGGAGTGCCACGGGATACGCATTTACGATTGGGGGAGCCAGATATTCAGAGAGTCTACCGCAGGAGACCGAGGAGGGAGGTCCACGGTCGGGGTTGTGGGACTAGGGGCATGTTAGGGCATTAGCCGGTGTGATATGGAGTGTATAGTTTTTTTTATTTATAGTTTTTGTAAATTAAACTTGTACAGAGGATGTAAATGTGCCATACTTATTTATTCGAAAATAGAATTTTACAATTTTTTATTCTTACTTATTTTAAACATTTCCTAAATACTTCAAATATTCAAATCATGATGTCACAATGGATTTAAGAATACTTTTTTTTTTTAAATACACACACAAATTTCAGACTACATAAGACTACCCAAAAAAAATAAAAAAAGGTACAGAACCTGATAATATAATAAAAATTTGAAGAACATTGATTTTTTTAAACAACGTGCGCACACACACACATACAACATTAAGAAAACAAAAACACAAATTTTATATACTTTGCCCCCCCCCCCCCCCAAAAAAAAAAAATTTTGAGTTATAACTAAACATTATATGAGGTATAACCAAACAACTCTTAAATCATAACTAAAATAATGTTATAACTGATATCACAATGTGTCATAACTAGCAACACAAAATGTCATAACCAAAGCATAGAATTGTCCTACATTATATATATATATATATATATATATCATAATATTTATAGGGGATTTCTATATCACACTTTAAAAAAAATGATGTATTATATGCCCGACTTTTTTGGTCTTTAGTTATGACTCATTTCGTTATAACCAAAAAGACCTTTGATAATACCTCAAGTGGTATTTGATTATGACGCATTTTGGTGCCAGTTATAATTCGTTGTAGTATTGGTTATAATGTATTTATGACTTACTATAATTATTATTTTGGTTTAACCAAAGAATTTATTAGTTATATCTAAAGCGATATTTAATTATAATTTATTGCGGTCATTATGACTGAAAGTGGTATTAAAATCACAAACAAATTGTCTTAAATTGCATGTGATACACCCCAAAATAGGAGTGTGTATTGTAAAAGCTCTTTTTATTTGGTATGTTTGGTACAGCTTATTGTAAGTTAAAGTTGATAATAAAAAATTAAAAAAACCCCTCCTCCATATCCTAAATAGTCTTATTCTTTTTTTTTTCTTTTTTTCTTTTTTCTCCAATTTATTTAAACTATTTCTATTTTGTAATCTATAAATGGAAGGTTCACTAAACAATCTAACACATTTTTAAAATAATAAAAAAATTATAAAAAATTCAAATAATTTGCACCAAACAATCCCATTACAGCATTGCTAAATTCCTGATGAGTATGACTAACAACTTTTTAATGTATGTTTATATATTTGGACAGGTAATTGATGAAATCATTGGCAAGCAGCAAAACCTTTTTCTGTTTAGGACACTTTCTTCTACCTTGGTGCAACTTAAGCTCAGGTATAACTCTCTTACTTTAGGCTATCTTAAAAAATCATGAATATGTGAAGGGATTGTGAATTCAAATAAAAAGGAAATAGAAAAAATAAGAAGAAAATGATGTAAAATAAGCTAAATTTATTTATGGGTTTTTTTTTTAAGGTCCCTGGTATTATGATTTTAGAGCATAAAGGACACTCAATATTTTTATAATGTCTAAGGTTCCTCAACAATATTTTCATAATGTCTAAGGTCCCTCAACCTTGATCCAGAGAAATTTCAGTCCAGAGAAAATTGGTCCAGAGTGGACCAAATTTCTCTGGAAAGTCTAGAGAAATTCTGAATTTCTCATAATTTCTCTGGTCCAATTATTCTCATAATTTCTCTGGCCCAATTCTTTCTAGAATTTCTCAGCATTTCTCTAATGCATTGGCTGAGTCCAGAGAAATTTTGAATTTCTCTGGTCCAATTCTTCTCAGAATTTTTCTGGCCCAATCCTTACTAGAATTTCTCTGATGTATTAACTGATTGTCCTGACCATATGCAATCACATGCTCTTATGGACATTAGGTAGTTTAACAATGATCTACTTATTTCCTATGCTCTCATAAATATGATGTGTTTATTTTTCAGAAGTTTAGTTCCACTTCTAACTTTTCACTTTTAACTTACTCATTCTCATTCATTTCCCGACCTTATACTTCAATACCATTTAGCCTGCTTTTTGAATTTTTGTCCTTTTTCTCCTGAGAAAAGATTTGTGTAAAACAAAGTTGTCTTCGTCTGCAGTTCATGCCCAAGAAAGCAGGCACCCCTAAAAAGAATGAGATCATATTCACTGCCCCAACAAGTGAGGAGATCATCAACAGAAAAACAGTTGGAACAACACCTGAAATCACATCCTGGAAATCCAGCCATATCTGAGTTTGATTATGAAACCGGTGAAACCCCAAGGAGGTCACCCAGGATCAGTGAGAAAGCAAAGGCAATCCAAAGAAATTTCCAATCCAAATCAGAGAATTTCTCTGGATCAACTCAGAGAAATTTCAGTTTAAACTAGAGAAAATTAAACAAACTGAGTTTAAACTAGAGAAATCCAGAGAATTTCTCTGGACCAGGAAAGAATTTCTCTAGACTCACTTCAACCCAGAGAAATTTCCCTTAAAAACCCAAGAGAATTTCTCTGGATCAACTCAGAGAAATTTCAGTTTAAACTAGAGAAAATTAAACAAACTGAGTTTAAACTAGAGAAATCCAGAGAATTTCTCTGGACCGAGAAGGAATTTCTATAGACTCACTTCAACCCAGAGAAATTTCCTCAAAACCAGAGAAATTTCCCTTAAAAACCCAGAGAAATTTATTCAAACAGTAAGCTGAAGTGAAAAGGAAATTTCTCTGGGTTGAAAATTTCTCTGGAGAAAATTCAGTTCAAATGAAAAAAAAAAATTGAAATAGATGTTCAAAATAAAGAGAATCATTGATAGTCTTGTGGTGCAAAATAAGCCCCAATCCAAGACCAGCACATAAGAAACAAGAAACATACCCATAAAATCTTCTTAAAGAAAACAGTAATCAAATAGCATGGAATAAATTGACTTCTTGAAAGCCAAGAAATTTATATACCAAATTCTAAACATTGACATATGCCATTATAAATTCAACAAATCTGGACTACTATTCTACTATTGGAGTTCAAACCCAGTGCTCAAACAGTGATTACTGCTATTTCAACACCACTTGAAAGAGTACCTTTGTACACTGTACCATCTGATATAGAGCCAATTATATTATTGAAATCTTCACAAGGTGCTTCTAGTTCTGATCGCTGGAGCTTTGGTACACCTAGAATTCAAACGCTCAAACATGAATAATATATATAAATACATACATTGACAAGTTCAATGCTCTGGGTATGAACGAGGGGACATTAGGTCCTAAGCATTACACTTCCCTAGAGTATAAACAAGCAATAAACCTTCATTCTTGTAAGAAAAAGGAATAACCTGTTACAAATGCTTTCTGCAGCTGCCCACTTAACCCTATTGCCTAAGGTTTGACAGTAATGACCTTGTTGCTTCGAAAGTAAAAAATGCCAAGGGCCGAAATAAATATGAATAAAGATCCCACCGTCACTCCAGACCATAGCAAAATTGTATGATGCTTCGAATTGAAACTCTGTGGTTCATTTTGGCTAGAAGTTGAAGCAGGAGAAGGCCAAAGAGCAGGATGGTGCACTGGTGGCTTAGAATCAAGTGGTGGATTTGATGGAGAAAGTGAAGGTGGACTTGTTGGTGGCCTAGGTGATGGTGAAGGGACCAAAGAATTTGGTGGGGAAGCATGTGGAGAATCTGGTAGTAATGATATAGATCCTGATGGAGGAAATGGAAAAGATGAGAATGGTGAATTTGAGGGAGAGACTGAAGGTGAAACCGTTGATGGATCTCGTTACCTCCAGACTCCATTTTCTTGAGCTGGATCTCGGACCACGAATCCATGGTGACCGGTAAACCCACAAGCACCACGGTGAACGGCGAGCCCACCTAGAAACAAACAACCCCACAGGACATGCCACAAACCAGCATAGAAACATAACCCAGAACAAAGAGAATTTCTGGGAACAAACGACGGAGGTCTGCGACGGTGGCGGAGCAGAAGGAGGAGTCGGAGGAGAAGGTGTTGAGGAAGAGGTCGTAGAGGAGGGTGGAGGAGCAGAGCTTGTTACCTTGGATCTGGAAGACAGTGGGTGAGAGGAGAAAAGAGAGAGAGTAGAGTAGAGTAGTGACAAAGAGTCAAATTTCTCTGATATATGTTTAGGGACCTTAGACATCAAAAAATAACTTTGTGGATCTCTTCCCTTATGAAAAGTGGGAGAGGGACCCTAGACTAATTTTCCCTTTATTTATTTCAATTTTTTTTCTTGACAAATATGTTATGTAAATTTAATCATTCCAATTATAAAAAAATAAATAAATAAACAATCATACAGAACACAAGATATACATGATACATTCTTAGTCCTCTCCCTTTATAAAGAACTCCTGACAATAAATCTAAACATATAGTAAAAAACAAAAGACACCTCACAACAAAATTCAAAATCAAAACATAATATTAAGATTTGAGTCCCTTTACTAAGAATTTACTAAAAAAAAACTAATCAAAAGTCACCTGTACGTATTCATTCAATACAAGAAATTATTTGAATTTTTATTTTATTCATTAGTTTCTTCCTTCACAAATTGCTTCTCAATTTTAAAATCAAAAAGTTCCTATTAAAAACATTTTGAATTTTATTTTCTTAAATGATTAAATTCAAAATGCTTTTTACAATTATAAATCTCCATGCATCTTCTAATAATTTTTTTAATTGCCTATTTTATTTTATTTGACTCCATCAATATTTTGGTGTGCAGTTATACATTATTGAGTTCAAGTTGATGAGATTGGAGTATGATGGATTACCCTCCTTATGGCCAATGACAAAACTTATTGCTTCTTCCAATTAGTTAAAAAGCAAAAATAAATAATAAATAATAAATTGTTGTATGATTTCTAATTGTGTGTGTACTACTTCATTAGTGTGTTTATTGAAAAACTATTCAGTTACCTATAGTTGTATAAGTAATGACGTATATATATTTGAACATGTGAGGTCGTAATAAATTGAAATGCATTTTCATATTACTCTATCTTGATTCTTGGACGTGCTGATGATATAATTTGTATGATTTTAGATGTCATGCATGCTAATTATGTGAGATATACACTCGCAGGGCTTTTTATTTGTTTATTTAATTATTTTTATTAGAATTTTATAATCATAATTCTATTTAAAAAAGGATGTTCGGATCAAATTGCCAAAGATTCACGTTTATTTGTTAGGCCTATAAAGACAAATTGGGTGTTTGAGAAATTATTATTTTAGTAGATTAAAATTTTTATATTTAGAAAGATTATTAGATTTTTTTATAGTTAAATATGATATTTGTAAGAAAAAAAAATAAAATAATTATAAATTTGATGTGATATTTTATCTTATTAATGATTTTAATATATTTTATTTATTTATTTTTATGAATTTCAACCTAAAAAATATATTTTTTTTTTACTTTATTTTTTTATTTTTTTATTTTTTGTCAAACACCCCCAAACTATCTTACGATGACCAAAATACCTATCCAATTCCGCTCTCGCTTTTATTCATTTCTCTTTGCTGAAGAAATCAAAACCACCACCTCCACCCACCATTTCTTCTCCCACGTTCTCTCTCTACACTTCTTTCTTTTCTCTCTCTTCTTCTTCATCTCTTCTGCTACTTCTCATTACGACTTCGCCGTCAATGGCGCCCTCACCGACGCCGGAGGTCTGTACATCAAGCAAAGACAGCTCTTGTACTACAGAGACGAGTTCGGAGACAGAGGCGAGTTTGTGACCGTTAATCCATCTCTGGTCTTCCCAAACCCTCGTCTCCGAACAGCCTACATTGCTTTCCAAGCTTGGAAAGAAGCCATATTCTCCGATCCCCAAAACCTCACAGCCGATTGGGTCGGATCTGGTGTTTGCAACTACACCGGAGTTTCTGCGCTCCGGCGCCGGACAACTCCTTGATCTTCACCGTTGCCGGTATCGATCCCAACCAAGGCGACGTCGCCGGGTACCTCCCGGAGGAGCTCGGACTCCTCACAGATCTCGCATTGTTTCACATCAACTCGAATCGATTCTGCGGCACTGGCCCTCACAAGATCAAGAACCTGAAGCTTCTCTTCGAGCTCGATCTCAGCAACAACAGGTTCGCCGCAAAATTCCTTCGGGTGTTTCTAAAATTGCCGAGTCTGAAGTTCTTAGATCTTCATTTCAACGAGTTCGAAGGCAATGTCCCCATTCTGGTGTGCATTTTTCTCGTATTGACTACTCTTTTGTGAGATTACTTGTTTGATTGCCGAGAAAATTTGGAAATCTGATTGAACTAACGAAATTTGGCTAACTTTTTTTTTTTACCAACCAAACAGAGCACTTTTGAGATTTTTTTAAAAAGATTTATTTTTCACTATCGTTGGCAGATGTCATCGAAGGAACTATCAAAGGAGATATCTTACATATTGTGGGGTATTTTGTTGTGAATTATGGTTTGAGAAAAAAACACAATTGTGGAAAATTTGGCTCAGTTTGGCTATATGGACACAAAACTTTAGGCTCAATTCAGATTAAAAGAACCACTTTTAATAATTTATAACTATTTCCAATTCTTGTCAGTTCTTACTTCGGAAAAAAGGCTTGTGAACCAAGTTCTGTCCTGGTTGTGATATGAAGCATTTTACATTCATTTGAGTATCAACATTTTTCTTTTTTAATTACCAACCAGTGCGGGTGTACAGATAAATTTGGATAGAAAATTTGTACAGATAAAAAATTGGACAGGTAAAATTTGGACAAATAGAAAATTTGCACAGATAAAATATGGATAGATAGAAAATTTACACATAAAAAATTGAACAGATAAACAAAAAAAAAATTGAGCAGATAGACAAAAAACTTGAAAAGATAGATATGAATTTGAACAGATAGTCAACGAAAAGTCAAATAGATAAAAAAAAATCAAGGGATAAAATTAGAAATAAAATGTCTTCTAAGACTTTTTACCAAACTATTTTAAAAAATGTAAACCTATCACTAACAACAAAAAATAATAACTAGACCTAATATCTTAGACAATTGTTAGAGTAGATTGTTTACCAATTTTCTTGTGAAAAAAATATGGATGAACAGGTTTATAATTAGGTGGGTAACCTGACTAGGCTAGGGAAAACTATTTTCAATACATGTCACGCCTCGACTTTTACTACTCAAGTAAAACATTACCGCATCCGTTATTATTAATTAATTTTCATAAGGAAAATGCTATAGGTCTTAAATTTTTCACCAAATGTCTCATATAGGTGTGGTTTTGTGAACCCCACACCTATGTGAGACATTTGGTCATTCATTTGGTAAAAAAGTTTGTATTCCTAATATGACCCTTTTCATAAAGATATATGTAAAAGCAATAATCATTTACATTAATGAATAATAAGGATTCCCTCTCAGTTCATACATTTCATACAAAATACAGTACAATTAAATGAAGTTGCCAATAGGTTTACATTACAACATAAAGACAAGGGCTTAACCCTCTTTACATTACAAGGCATGCCAATAAATTAGGGAGATCCTCTAATCTTAAATTACTCTTCAACTTTGTACCTGAAAAGTTATCAAAGTGAGATGAACATATATTCTGTAGGAATTCCAATGACTCAAGGCAATAACGACAAATAGATAGATAAGAACATGAATGCTTTGCCTCGTACTATATAAGTAATATGGCTTTTATAATCAAAGAATGCATACCTATGTATATTTTTCCCCAAAAAATCTTCTTCAGCAATCAAAGAAAAACCTCATTTTAATTTATCTTTACAATTCATCATCTCCATTTCAAAAGATTTTCAAAACTCAAAACACAGTTTATAACTGGCTTGTTTGATAACCATTCCGTTTTTAGTTTATATTTATAAAAATTTAAAAAACTGTCATAAAAATTTATTTGATAATTTTTTTGGTTTATAAATGGTTGTCTCAGTTTATAAATTTGAGAAAAAAATATAAACTCAAAAAATGAGTTTATGTTTTTAGTTTTCAATTTTTTTTTTCAATTAATTTTTTTTCAAATAATTTATTTTCAATTATTTTTTTTTCAAATAATTTTTTTTTCAATTAATTTTTTTTTCAAATATTTTCAATTAATTTTTTTTTCAATTAATTTTTTCAATTAATCTTTTTTTCAAATATTTTTTTTCCCGACTAAATTTTTTTTTCAATTATTTTTTAATTAATTTTTTTCATTTTTTTTCAATTAAATTTTTTTTCAAATATTTTTTTTTTCAATTATAATGTGTATGATCCCATTGTCATAAATAATAAAAATAAATATAAATATTTTAGGCCTGAACAAGCATATTTTTTAGTTTATGTTTTTAAAATTTTTTAAACATTTTGTTCAAACTAAACGCGTTTGTAATTTATATTTTTGTAAAAATAAACAAAAACCAGTTTATAAAATTTTTGTCAACATATATGAGAAACGTAAACGTTACCAAACGTTACCAACACAATCCCAATTACACTTCCAATACATCAATCATATTTTATGGCCTAAAGTACGAAGGCAAATGAAACACCTACCACAATATATATATATATATATATTTATGTAAAGAGCCAAAAGATAATTAATAGAGTAATAACACATACTCTCTTGTTTTACCGGACAAAGGTACGGAAGGTAAATGGTACACTTTTTCACGGCAATAATAACATAATTCGTACTTTACTGGCCATAAGCATGGAAGGCAAATGGTACACCCTATTATAGACACCCAATTTTGACCAACTCTAAGACTTGGGCGCTTTCTTTTGATTACCTGATGAAAA